TGTCACAATAATTCATTAAATGAAGAAAAAAAGAAAAGAATGCTCATAGATAGATTTATTTATTTCTATATATGGTTGAATTACTGTTGCATGTGAAACAGAAAAAGTGATGCCACAACTTACATAAAGAAGTTTTCAAATTGATTAGAGAGAAAAATGTTCGAATACATTGAAAAAGATGACTTCATTTACGATGAAAGAAGATGATTCTTCTTTTTTGGAAGAGAACTTCGCAGCTAGTTAATTTTTTATTCATATTTAAACATCAATGCTATGAAATGAGTAATAAACGGACGAAGCATGTAATTATGATTGTGCTAAACGATTTCATTTGCGTTGTTGTGTGTCGCTCCTGCGAACAGTATTTGTTTGAGAAATAAAATCAAATAATTTGGACTTTAAAAATTGATGTATCAATCCATTCAACCATGAACGTCGTTGAGAAAAGTGTGAAAGAATAAATCTTTTGATTCGTTTTTTTCTCTATGATCAAAATATTAGAACTTTAAAATTCTATTTCGATTGCTTTCCTCTTTGAAAATATTTTTTTGAATGCAAGTGAAACTTTAGGAATCTTTTCCTTAGCTTTGTACTATCTTCAGAAAAGTTCAAAACTGACTTTTTATTGTTTATAACTCTCATACTCTTTATGAGCAATATCTCCAATAGGTTATCTAAAACAAGATGACTAAATGAAAATTCAATAGAAAAAAAAAACAATTTCAAATATGTTTATTACAACTGCTATCCATTTCAAGATAAAAGAAGGGTGAGTATTAGTGGAATTTATTACAAGAACAAAATGTAGATCTGCAGTTTCCATCGTTCACAAAAGGAGCTCAAAATGCATCGAATCTTATAGACTAGATTTTCTAGCAAGTTTTCTCAGGGTCTGTTGCCAAGTTTTTTTTTAAATTGAGCCTCTTAAATAGGTTTTTAAGGTGAATTTCCTGTCAAAATATCAGAAAAAAAGTCAATTTTTCGTGAAAATTTCGCCAACAACAATTAGTAACATGATTGACTATACTTTACAACATCGAACTTAAATAATTGATAGATCTTTAGTTAATGATTCTAGTGCAATCCTGAAAATTAAAACTCTAAAACTTTTACATTAGGCAACGCTTTGTTTTTATTAAACTTGATAACATCACCTGAGAAACCTTATGAAAAAATCTGTAATCTATACGATTCGATGCAGTTTTATCTCATCTTTTAAACAGTGAAAATTGCAGATTTCTATCGTGTCCCTATCGAAAGTTATTCGAAATATACTCGCCCTTCTTTTATTTTGAAATAAATAATAGTTCGTTGTATGTCATCTATATGCCCACTATACCAAACTTAGAAGCATCTATGCAGATTCATTAGGAAATATAGGAAAAATTTACGATTAATATTTAATCAAAATAATTTTGCTAACTCCTAGTCTCATATTTTGAAAAAATCGTACTTTTTCGATACAATGATTGCTGACAGAAAAAAAAACAAAATAATCTTTTGTGCAAGTATGCAACATTGCAATAAATGACTTGTTTATGTTATCAACATGGCAAAATAATAAACATTATAAAAAAAAAAAGAAACATAATCATCGTACCATGATCAACAATAAAATGGACGAAAAACATTTGCCAATATGTTATGCCAATAAACCATAGGCATTTATTTACTTTTCAATAAACGTCTTCAACATTAACTTAACTATTCATCATTATAATTTTTTGGAAGCTCCTAATTGGTTCTCATTGAATATTCACATAACAAGTTTGTAAATCAATTGTCGTCAAATATCACTTCATAGTTCATCATCAGCCAAATTACAAATATCTAATTAAGAAATAAAATTAGAAAAGTAAACGAAGAAGGATTTTATCTGTCTATATTCATGACTCTGAATTAGTTTTTCATTAGATTTATTTATTGTAATGAATGCAACATAAGGTCCAGCTTGCTATGATCTGAGTAATGTTTCATAATGATTTGTTTGTTTTGATCTTGAACGATTAATCAAATTTTTTTTTTTTTTCATATCAAATATAGTTATTTGAATATAAAATTTTTAACCGTTACTGCATGATATTTTACATAAAGATTGAAGATTTTCATGTATTATGGTAGAACGAGTGAATCAAGATTGTTCTCATGACAGAATTGAAACAATGATATCCAATATTGAATAATATTAATCTAATTAAATAAAAATAAATCTTTTATAAACTTTATTTTATCGTCAAAAAAAAAACAGATTTTCCAATCTATCATTTTCTTGTTGAATTATATTTAGTCAATGAATTTGGTACTAGAAAAATTAAAGAATATTCTATAATTAGCTTGACAAAGTCTATTACTCTATCATTAAAAATATAATTTCGTACAATTGTTTCTATATGAAGACCAAATTCAATTCTTGGCATTCTACTCTCGAGGCTAATAGATTTAAATCAATGTTTATCATGAATATTTGGATCAATACTAAGATTATTCGAGAAAGACTTTTTTTTATTAGAACTCGCAAAAGTTTTATTTGTTGACTAAAAGGTAGTATACTCCAAAAAATTCTTCTTGAGTATAACTTATGATACATTGATGTTTTTTTCGATAACCAACATTCGTAGGTTCGCAGTCGAGTGAAAGTCGAAAGTCACCTAATTTTCGTATTTGTAATCTCACTATGTATAAGTGAATATTAAATTTCTACTGTTCCTATTGTTTTTGAATAATTAGTTCTTCATTTGTGCGCTAAATCCCTCTTTATTATCTAGAATAGAATAATTATTCTGTAAGATAAAATGTATTTATTAATTTTTTCAATGTTACTATTTTTTCTATTATTTTGTTTCAAATCAATACAACAAGAAATAACAAATGCATATATGTATGTACCGATACATTCATTACGTAAATGTGATATATGTTCAATAATAAGTATTGCATTTCCATTGTCAAATGATAAAAATTGGAAAAAACGAGTTGATTATCATCATAGTCGTCGAACAATACTTTCCTTTTTATTATCAATTAAATCAATGTCAGATAATAAACAAATACTTGATTTCATCTATGAATGTTATCCAAATTTTGATTGGTCAATTGTCGAAGAAAATTATCTCAACTTAAAAAATACAAATGAACCATATCAAATACAATATCATGCTGAAAATTTAGGAAACTATTGGCAATTAAGAATACCTACTCATTTCTTAGGTCCAATAAAATCTCGTGAATATATATCTCGATATCGTTCAAATGGTTTTCAATCAAATGAACTTAAAATTTATTGGAATTATAATCAAATTCAATCACTTACATTTTCTAATAATTATAATCCAATAACAGATCGTGATGCTAGAGATGCTCTATTAAATTCACCTGTTCATGAACGAAAAAATTCAGGCATAATTCGTTTTGTTATATTAGGTATTCAAGATGCTGTTTTTACAGTACCCAATGGTAAACAAGTGATTGTACTCGATTTTGCTGATGAACGAATGCCTGGTGGTTATTATTTAGAACATGCTTTGACACAAGAAGAAGTTAATATCGAAGTTTTTTTTCTGAATTTGTTTTGAAATTTTTTTTGCTTTTTTTGAATTCTAGATTATTCTTTATAATTCTGATGCTTACCGTGCATTATTAGATTTAAAATATACAATGATGGATGGTGGTTATATGTTGCCTGAATATGGAGTTGCTTATATAAAACGAGTACGATTTTTTCGAAAAGGATCTAATAATGAACGTCTTACAGATTTAATCGTTGCTGCTTGTAAGTATTACAATTATTGATATAAATTAATTTTCATGTGAGTGAACTGATTCAAGAATCTTAAAGTTAAGAATATTTCGTTTGAATAAGTGTATCATGTAGATTTTGATGAGTTCGTGTCCTTAGCTTATTGCTGTGAAGATACTGCAATGTTGTGATATTTTTTAAAATGAATACTGTAATCGCTCTCAAAAATATTTAAACAACTGAGTCTTCAATTTTAGCTCCTTTATATCTTCTGATGTATACGAATAATGAATTTCAACGCAAAATTTAAAGCAAGTGCTAAGCATTGTACAAACGTTCGAATGAATGTCGAAATAGTGTCTTTAACTATTGCTGTGAAAATTAAATCTTTAATAGTTGATGAATAGAGTAAAGAAAAAAAGTTGAATTTTGAATTGAAACATTTACGAAACCTACAAAAGTTTTTCGTCGAAAGTTCGTAATTTCACCTCTGAAAAAACTAAGACTTCTAAAATCAGTTTGTTCTATTCTATGAAAAACGTTTTGCAAATTAAATCCTTGTTCGATAGACCTATTGTTGCTGTGTGCTGTACGCTAAAAAAAGATCTGTATTCAATCATTGGTTTTTTTTTATCGAAACATCTTTCATGTTGAATGGAAATATGTTGTTATATTATGTTTTTCCTAATCGAATAGATCCGAATAAAATGTTCAATTTCAAAAAACCTCAATATCTCTCTCTTTTTTATCAAGGTTATGATTTATCTCAACATGGAGAAGGTCTTTATAAACCACCACCGCGCGAAGATAAGCAACAAATACGTTGTCGTACTCGTCAAAAATTTCAAACTTTAATCGCATCAGCTGTTGCAAATACAGAAGGAAATGGTAAAAATACATATTTATTATTAGGACCTATTGGAACTGGTGCATTTGCTAATGATAAACAAATGATAGCTGAATTATTTTTTGAAATACTTAATAATTCATTAATGAATTCAGAAAAAGCAATACGATATGCATTTGAACAAATATGGTTTGTATCTACAAGTAGTCTTCACATATTCGAAAAAGTATTTAAAGACAATTAAATGTTTTTTAAATAAATCACAAATAAGATTTTACATATGTATATATATATATATTAATATTATTAAATAAAGAGGAAAAAAGAAACAATCCTACAAATTACATTTATTTATTTATTTATTTATTTTGCAGAAAGAAATATTAAAATTTTAAATAGTTTTTAAGTACTAAAAATTTAAATATATTCTGTTGTATAATATTTATTGGCATCTTTTTGTAATATCACGTGTAATGGATTAAATGGGATTGGATGATAGGATGATAATTGTGTGTTGTCATCGGATAGAACAATAGTTTCAATATTATTTGAATCTTGAATAATCAATGGTTGTTTTGTTATTGATGATCGTCTTGATTGTGGACCACTACCACAAAGTGTTGCATCACTTTCACTTGATGCTATATCAACTAAATGAGGATAAGCACTTTGAACTGTATGATCTAAAAGAGTTTCTTTTTCTTCATTTTCATTTGTTAATAATGGATTTCTTTCAATAATGTCATTTGAAAAAATAATAGCAGGAGACATTGTTGAATTATCACTTAAAGGATTAACAACAACAGTTGATACTGATTCTGATGTTTCAAGTAAAATATTATTTTGAATTTTCGATGGATCAATTGTTGATGATGATACAGGTTTTGATACAGTAGCTATAGAATCTTCAGTTAAATCAACACCATATATACCACTATCAACTGCAGTTAATGTTGGTTTTGATGATGGAACTTCAGATTTTGTTAAACCGGATTTTGTACTTGTTAGTTCAGGAGATTTAAATCGAGATGTACTAACATCAGATATTTGTACTGTTCGTTCAGGAACTAATTTTTGTTTTGTTACATTTGTAGATGTATTATTTATTTTATCAAGAAGTGGTGCTTTATCAGATGATTTAACTGTTGATTTAGATGTAGTATTATTAGTTGTTGAAGGTATATTTTTCTTTTTAGTACTAGATGAAGATGAAAATGAAGATCGACGTCTAAAATCATAGATAAATATTAATGTTAGGTAAGAAAATTTTGTTATATCTAACGGTATCTAGTCTCAAAAATTTTGATTTTTAGAGCAGTCTACTGATAAATAGACTTGTCTGTGAGAAAAATCTCAGGTCAAAATGCCGTCATTTCCCATGTCCTTTGAATCGGCTAAAAATTGCCGATTAATCCCGATTCATCGAAACGATAATCGTGAGCTGAATCGCGATAGAATCACCGATTATTCCCGATTATTTCAGCGATTTTTACGATAAATCGTGATTTTATGCAAGATTTAACCGTCTGTTTACTGATATTTTCTACTATTTCATTGGCTCTTTTGGAGACACATATTTGAATTTTTTCTTGAATTTAATTCAATTTTTTTTGTTCTCAAGATCCAAGCCGATCAGATCGTGCGATCTGTCCGATCTCGAGCTGGTCCGATTCTTATCAGACCGTTTCAGCGTAGTCCTCTCCAGATCATGGATCGGGATTGGCATTTCCTTGATTAAAAATAACCAAGAAATAATTTATTAGAAAAGAATATTTCGAAAACTTATTTGTTATGCATTGAACGGCGTTGCTTTTATATATCCGTGTGTGTTCATAACAAAACGGTGAATGAATAATTGTCATGATTTATCAATGATTTTTGAAAATCAGCTCTTCTCTCATAATCGCGATAAAATCTGATATAATCGTCGATCTTTTAAAGAAATACGATAAATCACGATTTTACGCCAATTTTTTAGAAAATCGCGAAAATCGCGGTGATTCTCACGACATGGGTTGATTTGTTAGTGTATATATCTTAACAGAGGTCTAAAATTCTAGTAGATTGTCTATGACTCTTGACAGAAAGCCTAGAGGGAATTGTTCTTTTCAAGTTTTTTAAATCTCAATGGAATCTATTTTATTCATAGTGTCGATAGATGAAATTGGAAACATTTTCTTGTCAGTCCTATGTTGTTGCACTTCTAAAAATAGATGTCTGCCTTCTTGAAGTTTAAAATCGTCTATTCAAAATAGATTGATTATGAGGCGAAAAGGTCAAGATTTATGAAAGATCAAATCGATAATATGAAATCAAATTATAAAAGATAATTATTAGCCAGTCATGATTTGATCTAGTTGGATTTGGTTGAAGAAAAAAGACTAATCAAATTAGATTCTTGCATGTTCTTTCTCTCGAGGCATGTCAAGTTGAATGCTCTTCAAGTAAAGAAGAAAAAAAAATGATCTTAATGAATGTAATTAAATTTCAAAAACCTAGATTTTATTCAAATATTTTTGAGTTTAAAACGAGAAATATTCGAACTATGCGAAGAGAATAAACAAAGAAACTATTCGATTTATATTAGTATCATATAGATAAGATATTATTTTTATAAATTACCTTTTAATCAAAATAAAAATAAGAATACTGGCAACTGTTGCAATTAGAAGAACAATTACAACAATAAGAATTCCAATAAGAATTTCTATAATAAAATTTCATTAAAGAAAATAACAATACATCCTTTTTTTTTTGTTCTTTCTTTCTTTCTCTTTTTTTTAACCTTTTTTAAATGTTTGTTTTGTTAATGTTTCATTAACGTTTTTCATATGACTATTGTTCAATAATGAATTCATAGTTTTTGTTAACATAATAGATGTTGTTAGTATCATTAATGAAGATCTAGATTCTTTGATTAATGGATCATGAATAATTCCATCGGAATTATATTGAGAACGTGCAATGACTGGAACAACTAATAAAGACATTAAAAAAAAAAAGACTTCTTTTGAAATGAATTCTATAATAATTAGGACTACTACCTCGATATCGTATTTTAAAATATCTTGGATCTCTAGAAACAGTTGTTTGTAATGACATATATAAAGAATTTGATGAAATAAGATAACGTGTATTTGATAATGGATTATTTATTGAACGATCAGCACCACACCATGTATGATATTCTTTCCAATTATTATTTTTATTAATATTATTCTCATTCAATGATGGATCATAACCAAATATTTCAATATATTCACCTCGACATTTAATAGCTTCTTGTAAATGTATTTGAATAGGAGATAATTCAATATACATTGATGGATCAGCTTCTAAAAAACAAAACAAAATTATTAAATAAAGTTTCTAACAAAAAAAAGACAAAAAGATTATACCAATAGTTATCGAACATTTTAGATTGTCAGCCATTGGATGTGGATAAGCTGGTGATATAATATATCCATGTAATGTATTTCGAATAGGTTCTGTATCTATACACATGGTATGAACTAAGAAAAAAAAAACAAAAAAAAATTTTTATTTTCATATGAAAGATGTTTTTTTTTTGTTTTTACTTTGTGTACAAGTATATTTAACAAAAAAATATGTTGGTGTATATATTTTATCTTCACATTGTATATAATCTCGACTCGATATTGCAATTGAACATGTTTTATTTCCTTCACATAATGAACCATCCACATATGATTGACAATGAATAAGATATTCTGAATGAACATCAGGTTCACACATTTGTCCACGTCGATAAACTTTAATTATTGTTATATCAGTTAATAATGCTGTTTCATCTGAACAAGATAATTGATGATAACCTTCTTCAGTTGCACACCAAAATTTTTCATAAGTTTTTGAAAAAACTAAATCAATATAAAAACGTAGAAAATTATAGAAATAACTATTAAGATTTTGTTCAATTTATTTGATACTAAAAGATTTGTTTTTAATATTTAATCAATAGACTGTTTGTAAAAATTATGCTTTTCTTCTGCGAAACTTCAAAGCTTTTTTTTTTGTTACAAAGATCAACTTACTTTTTTTTTTTTTTTTTAAAAAAAAAGGAAACGAGTATTCCCTATTCAAAAGAGTCTAACGAGAAAACATTTTCAACTGATCAATCGTTTTGTCATTAAAAGCTATTAAATTATAGGTTATCGACCATGCGTTGATTCCCAATATAACCATAAGTAATCCCCTTAGGTCATTAAACGTTGGTTTTCTAGACTAAAAAAAAAAATTTTGTCACAAATCATTTGGGATCTACTCAGATTATAGAGCATATCGAGTTGTCTATATAGAATAATAATTTTTTTTTTTTTATTCTTTTTACAAAAATTAGTTATATAAATTAAAAGAGCTGTTTTTTTTTCTGTACGAAGAAACAAATAAAAAAACTATTCGAAACATAACAAGTTCTTGTTTTCTAGAATGCTTTGAAATAATCTATAATTTAGATAGATCAAAAGCAAAAAAATAAAATAAAAATAAATTTTGACAAAAAGTTTATTAGTTTAGAAAAACTAACTTTCTAAAAAAACCTAAAGAGATTTCTCATGATAATATTCAAAATCAGCATGATCAAGAACGTTATAATCAAGTGGTTTCCGGTAAGAAATCAATTGATTAGTTGAAAATGTTTCGTCATAATTCTGAAATAATAATTAGATATATCGAGATGAAATTCGAATCAAAAGAAGAATTCCCAAGATGATAAATATTCAATTAAATAATCTCACGATACAAACCTAATTGAGAGCAATAGTATAAACTGGTAACAAACGCCAGGACGTATTCCGGCCGAAGCCATACGACCATCCTACATCGGATGTATGTTTCTTTTTTTTTTTTGATTTAGTTACTTATCTTCAAATATAAATTAACAGCATTACTATTAATAAAATGATAAAAACATACTGATACAATTAAAATCTGAAATAAAAAACTATACAAATATTAATTATTAGTATTCCAGTCATTCTCACTTTCTTTCTCTTTCTTGCTTTTCCTTAATATTGACATCTCAGTAATTCTCTTGAGTGTAAGTATTCATAAATAAAAGCTATCATATTATAATTCATTTTTACACGCGATATTGTTCTCAATACGTAATGAGTTCAAAAAAAAAAACACTAAGGACAATTTTAATAAATATCACAATTAATTTTACTAACAAAATGAAAATATATACGTCTAAAACTATCAGTATATGTAATCATGAATCATTTCTTAAGAATATGATTATAAGATAAATATATGTTTATTTTGTGCTAGGACATCCATTCCAAGTATATCGCCTTGTATACTAAATCATTAACAGATCTCTTAATTTTTATTATTCGTTTATTTTGATAACTTATAAATAGATCGATATTGCTTGTTATTTTTAATTCAACATACATGCTCTCTCTCACTCTCGTTTTTTGTCATATCTTAAAATATTCCATCCTAAAGGCAATCAATATAATGAGTGGAGGAATCGTTCTGACTATAAGACTAGAATTGGACTGTAGGCAATATATTCATTTCATGATGAGATGAATGTAGTGTTTTTCTTTTTTCTTCTATATATACTATCGAATATTTTACACTGTGAATCGTTGCTATCATTATTTATTTTTCTTGTTTAATAAAAGAAAATAATCATAGAAAACGATTTTTTTTTTTTTCGTTCTTTTTAATATCTCCTATTAATCAAATAAATAAATAAACACAACAGACATCGTTTGGCTCGCTTAAATGCACGCAAAAATTATTTTCATAAAGACTAAGTGGTTTCATTTGACATTGCACGCGTGAACAACAATAATAATTGACTGATGATGATGATAATAGTACGATTGCTATCTGTCGATTTTCTGTCATTTTGTATTATAAATTCAAATTTGAAGAAGATCGATGTTCTTTTTTTTTCTGATGTTTTGTACTATAGATGCAAATGTATATCATTGTAGAAAAAAAAAGAAAGGAAAGAAAACGGATGTTTATATGCAATCCACATGTGAACTTTTTTTCAGATTTATTTAGCTATTCTAATGATACTTCTATGTAAAGTGATCGTTGATGACTTCTATTCTATCCAAGTGTATATTAAATAGGAAGTTATAATGTATAACTTACAAATTTTGATTTATTTTTCTCATAGTTATAATAATCAAAAAAAATAAAAACTAATAAGTACGTACAAATTTTCACGCTTAATGATTCTTGTTTAAATATTTCTAATGATTATTCATGATCATTATTGAAAATACACAGATAGTAGTTGTGATAAGAATAGTATTGGAATAGAAGAAGAAAAGATCTTGTTAAGCTATACATACACACGATTATTGCTTAGATATAGTAAAAAAGAAGAAAACTACCATAGAGAGAGGAAAAAACGAAAGATAGAGAAAATTTATTCTCTTTTTTTTTTTTCTGTTTTTCATCCCCGGAAGAATGACGCGAGAGCAATGGTAATAGAACATAGAATGGAATGAAAAATGAATGTGTCGTTTCTGTAAAAAAAAAAAAGAGACCCGAGGAAAAAGCAAGAAGAGAAACTGTTCTCATCATTCAAATATCTTTACATACAAGGATACATTTATTGATAATTTATATGGTATATATAGAATGATATGTATTTCCGTTGTTTAAAACTAATTGTAGAAGAAAAAAAAAAAAAAACGTAGTAAAATTAATAAGAAATTACAAAACTATTCAATGATGATGATGGTAATATAGAAAAGTACAGAAGAAAAAAAATAAGTTAATCATGCAAACTAATGATTTATTCTTAAAAGATAAGTACACATTAGAAATGATTTAGTTAGACTATAACGAGTAATTCAAAGAAAATAAGTAAACATGTTTACAAAGTTCAATTAGAACCAAAATTTATTCTTATTGAAATACCGGGATACAAGATAAAAACAAAACTAACAACGGAAGGATGACACTTGATGAAAAACTGACTTCAACAGATTGAGAGAAACACAAATCCAAGAACATAAAATGCAAAATAACTATTATATGTATGCAATGATTGACATAAACCAAGAGAAAAAAAACTTCTGTGATCTATTAATGACTAAATTTAGATATTTCGAAAAAAAAAACAACATATAATAATTAGTAATTTCCCAAAAGAATTTTTGCTGGTTTTTTTTTCCAAACTAAATCTTTGAAAAAAATAATATATATCCATTCTTGCATTGATACATGCTGTAGAAGATCGTTTTTTTTTCATAAATGTTTCAAATGGCTGCTAGTTTGTCTTTTTTTCTTAAAATTTCAATAATAGTTTAATGAGAATAGGAAATCTGTGAGCGTGTGTTTTATTCCTACACACACTGTTGTTAACTAGAGCACATGACATTGATTCATTCAGCGTTTCTTTCTTTTTTTTTTTTTTTTTTTACTATGGAATTCATCGAGGAAAACGCTAACATTACGAATAGTTCACTGACAACGGCAAAGATCGATCAAAATGATTTTGTCGTCTATTACAATTCCGCAATGGTTGTTGTTAGCCTGTTTTCTTTTGAGAACTAACTCATATATAAATAATAAAAAGAAGAAGAAAAAAAAAAAGGAAAGAAGGCACTAAGTAAGATGATGACAACGACTTTATGTGCGTGTTCCGTCCTACGATGATGATGATTATGATGGTTACGATATCACTAAGACATATAAAAGAATATGTAAATTCAAGAGGACATCTAAAGAATACAATGTCCGCTGCCGCTGGCTAGTTGTTCGCCTGACTATCTTGAATCGCATACATTTTATCTTTTCTACATCTTTTTACTTCATCCTTGTTAACACACTAATTGAGAGGCAGTCGGCATACACTAGATTGCAATTCGAGAGGTTCATTTTGTCTCTCTCTCTCTCTTTCACCCTCTTCTTTTTTTTTTATGCGAAAGAAAGTCAAAGAAAAAGAGCGAGTCGGATGAATGACGATAGCGAAAGGAAAAAGCACGTCAAATAATCAATTTTAGATTCGATTTTTCTGTACTGTCGTCAGCATCGGCACATCCGTAGTAAAGAACCAACAAAGAGAAGGCGACAATAGAAAAAAAAAACTCTGATCTTCTCTCATAACAAATTAGTAAATGTGCAATGTTATATAAAAGTAATAATCATCTATGGGTATGCAATAGATTTTCTTACTCAAGTATATTGTATCTTTTGTTTTGCTATGCACACTTTATAGTCTTCAACAAATACACATAGATTTTGATTTCCCATGTGATACAAAGAATAAGGAAACATTAACGATACATAAGAATAAACTAATCTTTTCTTAAATAAAACCAATTATTGATTTATTTTATCAAATGTACAAGATTTTATTTTATATTTCAAAAGAAAAAGTTTACATGTCAAGATAATTATATGAAAAAAAAAAAGAGAGAGAAAATTATTTTCAGTAGAAAGTTTAATAACGTAGATTTTCTTTACGACCTAATTTTAAAATCAATGTACTAAAGAAAACAACAACAAAAAAAAAGGAAGACGTCATGAATATTAATAATAAATAAAGTTATACGACAGACCTAATCAATATAGCAAGATTTTGAAGAAAAATAGCTAGACCAGGATAAAATCTTTCTTTTTTATAAGTAATATAATAACCAAATAATATCCAAGTACTTGCAATAAATGAACCAAATACAAGTAGAAATGAAATAAAAAGAATAAATCGAGCTCCTATGATAAATAAAAACAAAAAGATTTTATCTTATTTATAAAATTCAACAATATACCAATTTGTCCAAGACTATTATTACCATCATCATAACCACGAACTTGAGAATTTGATACACAATTACTTCTTATTTACATTTATCAAAGAAATTAAGTTATTTAAAAATACAAAAAACAACAACGTTTGAATTCAACTTACAAAATAAGTGCTAATGTAGCTATTATACCAATAATCAAATAAATTTTATTAAAATCAGTTTGTGTAGGATATTGACAAATCATGTCAATGATAATCCACCAACCGATTGCAAACTAGTATAAAAAGATTTGTTAAAAAAAACAAAAAGTAATTAATCTCTATTTCATACAAAAACTCCTGCAAGAATCGAAAGGATTCTATTTCGATTAAGACATTTACATAATTTGAAACCATTGTTATTAGAACTAATCATTTTTTCTAAATTCAATTGAAATTCATAATATCTTTATTCGCTGTAAAAATTTATTTAATCCAATCAAAATTATATGTATCTAGCGGCGACGCTCTGATTCGAAATAAAGAGAGAGGTCGAAAGAAAGACAAAAAAAACATCAACGTCGGTTATCAATGGAGTATTGTATATTTAATTCATCATGTCGTTATTATTAACAATTGTTCCAATAATTCGATCAGTATTTTCACGATGGACAGCTTTACAATTAGCTGTAATACATTCAATGGGTGGTCCAGAAACTCAAGCTAAATATGAAGCATTTATTGAAGCATTTGGTGAATATCTTACACGAAATATACGATCATTATCATCAACATCTATTAATGAAAATAATATTCAAGAATATCTTGATGAAATTCTTGATGAAGAATTTAATACAGTTATAGATGATGGTTCAAGTTATGAATTAGCACAATTATTTATTCGTTATATAAATTTAATTTTACAAGGAAAATTAAATGATATACAACAAGAATTACAATTACAAAATTCAATTGTTTCATCTATTCAAATGTCTATTCGAAATGAAAATAATAATAATGATGATGATGATTCATCATCAAGTGAAAATGAAAATGATATGATTGAAGAAGAAATTGAAATAGAAAAACCAAAGACACAATCAATGGA